TCAACTTTACATTGCGTATTATATCGGCTAAAGCTATGCCCCCATTTTGAATTTTCATTGCAATTCAGTTTAACTAACGAGATGTAAAAGCGATCGAACATTTCTAAACAAGTTAATCGTTCACACGGACAGATAGATGGACAGACAGACAAAGGAACAGACGGACAGACCAACCGGCAGGCGACAGATAGCAATGCAAAATTATAAACGATCTCTGGGATCGTTAATAAACGGCAAAAGTGTAAAATTATGGAACATGTAAAAAACGGTTTTTTGTTTTTTTTACAATAACTTTTTTTGTAAGCGGTACAGAAAAAAATTCTTTCCTTGGTACAAGACTCGACACCATAACGAACCAAATAGCGAAAAAAGTAGAACAATAGCTCTTAAGATAAAGAACTAGGAGCGTCGCAAAACGAGCGGACGGACGGACGGACGGACAAAGTGGCCACAATAGCGCATTTTTTTTATTTTTGTGGAAATGCGCTAAAAGTGTTAATGATGTACACAAAGTTTCAATTAGGCGACTGTTTCCTTACTGGAAACGTTAATTAGGGTCATTGAGGTTATACGATCGGCAGATGAAGTGGAACAACAATTAAATGATACAGTAGATTTCTTTACTAATGTTACCAATAGAGGAAACTCCAAAAACACACGTGCTATATGGTATATTGATGGTGAACAGTTGAGCTGTTACCTCGGCTGTTACTATCAAGCAAAAAATTAACACATGAACTTAATAGCCAATGCGTACAAATCCAGGTACATTTACCTACAAAAGAATTGATTACTTTCTTTACTATACAATGCGGTGGGGATTTTATTGTTGAGAAACGTGGAATGGAACTTAAAAATAAATAATAGGTATTTACAGCGTCGACATTATATTTTTACGGTTATTTTACCTTTATTACGCAAATTCTCTGCAGATTATAAAAGAAAACCGGCGTACTCTGTAAATAAACAATCGTAATGATTGTTTGTGTGTTTTGGTACATAATTACGTTACCTGTTAGAATTCGTAGGAGGAGCAACGTACGCAAAGAATATAAAGCATTAAAGGCGAAGCTGTGAAATTTTAATTATGGCCTAGAAGTTTGGCAAGCTTCACCTGAATGAAATATAAATGGCTTCGCGTGCTTACATTTCATATAGATACTGGCAATCAAATTCAAAGTGAAACATCAATTGCGCAATACTGAAGTATGCTGACTGAAAACAATAAGAAAGTGTGGATGATTAATTGTAATTATTTATTACCACAGAATTGACGCCATCGTGTCTACGCCAGCAATTTATTTATAAATAAAAATATAGGTTGTAATGTAGTGACTACCAGTTTTATTTATTTATATATCCAGACCTAAATACTCGACTCGTAATTTTTAGCTTTGGTAAAATTTTGGTTTGTTTTGCAAACCGTTACTTCCGGATTGGCATATCTACACGCACGATTTCATTTTCTGCTCGTAATCCGCATTGTTTTCGAAATAACCGCAATTAGGGTTGCGCTTCCTCCTATAAAAAAAATCGATGGCCGAAATCGTGATTGCTTTACGATGCGAGGTGATTTAATGTCAAAGACGACGTAATGGTGTTATGCACTGATCGAGCTCGACTCGTACCTGTCCGTTAACGGAAACGACGTGTTTTGCATGTCAATGAGATTCAAGAATTAACCTCATTTCTACGTCTGTAATCTGTATCGCATTTAATTATTTTCAGAAAATTAGTTAAATCTCAGACGCTACTAATGGGGTAACAGGTTTCCCATAAGAATTTCATTTGCAGGAAATGTAGACCTAATATGATTAAAACTATTATTAAATTTAGAAAATGCTACAGAAAATCAGCGACAAATCACCGAAATCCTATCTTTCCACAACTAAAAGATTATGGGCACAGAAACCAGTTTTGAAACGAATGCCAATATACTGTTCCTCAAATCATGTTTAGGGTGGACGTTTTTATTTATAATTTATTTCGCGCAATTCGCGATTTACCGACGCGCATCTTTTAGTCGTGGAACGATCTCTATGTATTGCAAATATAGAAGTGCGCTTGCAGAATAAACCAACCCAGCTTTTTCATCAAGACTTATTTTGCCATATCGGCAACAAAATTCGTAGGGAGGTATGACTTTGGGGGCTGTTTGACCGAAATACAATACATATGAACTCTTTTGGATCAAGGAAGTCTGCTTAGCCACGCCCTCCACACAAATATTGAATTCGCGCAAACGCCGACCGACAGTCGCAGGCCTCGTTTGATGTAAAGTTAGCACCAGTAAAAGATTTTGCATACATGTGACGTTAGCAATAACGAGGCTCCCGTTGTCCGCCTTGGAGTCCATACCCGAAGTTGTGACCACACCGTATAAGTATATATTTGTGGAGTCTACCAGCTTTGCTTAACACCCTGTATCTAAAAGCGTTTTAAGTTGGGCGCTTCGTTACTAAGTTGTTTCTGAATTCACTTATTTGCTCTAGGAGACGAGGAGTGAACTTTGTGTGTTTTCATTTTGTGTAATTGTTTGTCTTACCGCCGGTAACGCACGTAAGTTAAGTAATGAATTTATCAGTTTTGCAACCCCTGTAGGAATATTTAAACTGCGATTTTACAATTGCCAAGCTTTTTTGTCGGAGAAGGCAAATTAATATTTTTGAATTTCAGACATTATAACTGATAAGCCATTATTAGCAGGCATGCAAGTTTAGCCGTTATCAGCCTGATAGACCCGATCCGGTTGATTTTGCGAAATAACAGTAACGGCTTCAAGAGTAGAGAGTGTGGAAAACGCTAAACATATATTTTACATCACAACTACAATATACAAAAATTAACAATTCGAGGAAGTAAATCGTTAATTTGAATAATTTAAATCTGACGTTAATGTAATACAACATTTCAAGAATGACCATCACAAAACAGATTTAAAAGCAACTCCAATCCTTTCCCATTTGTGAAAGAATAACGTTTCGAAGTCTTTTACATAAAGTACATGAAGTACTTGTTAATTACCCAGGCCTTCTCAGTCCAAAAGGCATCTAAAGGTCCTGGGTACGCTAACCTTAGACTAAAGTTGTATTTCAAGATGAATGCCGCGGACGAAACAGTTGACATTCAAAAAATGCACTCATTCACTAGAAATCGAAGTGGCTAATCAATCCAAGTGAGTTTAAACATCGAATGAACATTAACAACTGGTCAATCTCAAACAAATCAAAATAAGAGTAACATTTGAAGTGAAAAAAGCAAATAACCAACAAATTCAGGGGTTACAATAAAGCGAACAATTTTTACGATGTAAATAAATAATTGATTTTTTTTAAATAGAACATTGTATATTTTTTGTTGTTTCGCTGTCATTGTTAATCACTTATTAATTTTTTCCGAATAATTCCTCACGAGATTCCTTATATCTTTAAGCAAGCGTCACTTTCTTGAACCGGAGCGACCTTTTTGGAAGTTAAGAATTAAAATTTGAGCAACAATGTTAATCCGAGTAAACGCCAACACTTTGATAATGAAAAAGTTAGATTTAGTGATACAGAGTGTTCACAATGAAATTGTAAAATTTCTGAATGTCAAAGTGCTATAGCTATTTTTTTTTTCAAATGGAACTACCACTAGGTATTTTATTTCCCTATTCGATAGTCTGATGCTTTATAATTTTTACGAGGGACTTCCTGTGTTTAAACCCCGTGTGTATAGGTCAGGGGTCGGCAGCCTGCTGCTCTTTTGATATAAAGTTGCGACTCTCCGTATTTATCTAAAGGAATTAGTTCATTTGTTCGAAATTCGCCTTTTTAATTAATCTTATTTGTTTACGAAATCAAAAGTACACTTGCAGCAAATAATTATCTAATTTGTGACACTTGTTTACTTTCTGGTATTTCTTTTGTTTTTTTATTACAGCAGCCTACTCCGATGTATAAACACGTAATTAATTAATGAGTAGGTACTTTCGTGAAAAATATTGAATAACAAAAAACTGCGGGGTTTAAGCACAGGGCACCCTTTATAAACATTCAAGAGAAAACAAAAGACAATCGAATAGCGAAATAAAATAGTGGTAGGGAAATTTTGTAAATTGTAATTTTTGGCTCTTCCGTTTCAATAGGTTTCCGACCCCTGGTATAGGTTTTTCAATAGTTCTCACAAATGTAGGTACCTACCCATTAATTAATTACGGGCGACAAATTTTTTGGGGTAACTGGCCGCACAAGGATTAAATCCGACCCTGGTTATGTTATATTCATTATTGTTTAATTAAGCAAATTCGAAGAAATGAACTTTATTAAAATTAAAGGAGATAATATTTTGTGAAAGTTTAGCGAATTAAAATGATCGAGAATCAATTTAAAATAATTTGATGATCTAGCAATTCAATTTACTTATTTCGCAGTTGCGTGACCGTCATAGTCATGAGGTAAACTAGATTTTTAAGTGAAGCAAATGCCATAACTACTTGTGCAATATTTGTAAAGAAGGTGTTGTGAAACTTATTTTTCTTTAGTGCTCTTGAACTTAACAAACTTTCGCATGTTACACAAACGTTGGAATTGAGTTGGCCGCTAACGATAAAAGCAGGATGTGAATCCTAATTAGTAGGTATATTCAGCGTTCCTCAAACGTTTTGTTAATTGTATGTTAATAATCAGGTTCCACGTTCGAAAACAATTGAACGCTACCGTACCAAATTTCTACACATTAAATTAATTCGGCCCGAATATAAAACGCAAAACAGCGTTTATTAAATCGATTCCGCGCCGGGCAATCTTGTTATAAGGGATTTTTCTTTTCGTTTTCCACTTTAACTCGCGCGAAACTGGCCGTTCTAGACATTTTGGTAATTGTTTTTTGTGTTCCCATGAATTTTCGTCGATTGTCGGAAAATTTCCTTCCCTAATACGTTCGCTTTTTTCTCCTCTCGTTTACGAACTTAAACTCGAATTGACCTACTTTGTTCTCAAAACGCTTTTCTTTGTTTTCAGATTGAATGGACTACGGCGAACTTCGGATAACTTCCCAAGGAATTATTATATAAAGGTAAGCAAACTTTTTTCTTTGTTCGTCCCCTTTTTTTCCCAATAAGAAATCAAAGTTGGCGAGGGGGTAGTTGTCAGAGAGATCTTTTCTGTACGTTTTGAGAAATTAAATCGAACTGGATATTTATAAAATGGAGTAAGATTTACGTCATGAGGAAGATGAAAGATTTTATTTTTAAATCTAGATCAGTGCGACCTACTTCCTTGATATTCGCGATTTGACAGATGCTCGAGGTAGATGCGAGGGCGTTTTCTAATTACGCGATCTCATAGGCAACAAAAATATTTCAACGGCAATAAATAATAACAAAGAAACGTCTATCACGCAAAGAATTTTCCTGGAAACATCCCTCATTGTATTAATTTTAATCGTGTCTCATACTCATGCACTTCTTGCGTCTCGATTTCGGAATAGTACGCATTTGACACGAACTGCGATTTTTTAAATCAATTAATTAGCCTGATTAATGGCAGCAATTAATACTTCCTTACGGTACCTAGGCATAATCAATTTTCGTATTTCCTGACTGTCTAGAAACTGACATTCTATACTCTGAATTTAAACTCAAAATCAAAGTCAACAAATGGCTCTCTATGAGAACCCAATTTACATAAATTTAAAACGTTGATGTGCACCATGCAACTACCAAACTACCTTTTTCTTTAATTGCAGGAGGAGAAAAGTACTGTTTTCTATAAATAGCACTCGAAATAAAGTTTGTTTATTTCTATTTAATTTACATACTGAATTTAACCTCGTATTTACCTTACATACAAGTACGTTCTCAATGCTAATCTTGTGTTGTAATAACCGACTGTTGACTAACAAGATTTCAATGACATTTATGTTCTCGTTTTAGTTGTGTTGTTTTTTTTTATATTTTGCAAAGTCAGAATAAGATCTTTAACGTTTATGCCGTTGTGATATTTATCTCCTTTTTGTTATTTTCAATTTGGGTGTACTTCATACATTTACGATTCACAAGGAAATAGGAAGCATATACCTTCGAATTAAATTCTTTGCGCTCTTTTTTCACAGGGTGAAAATATGTACACAAATTCGTTAAATTATTCGACGAAATGTCGACCAAGAGTCAGTCATTTTCACTAGTAATCTCACAAGTGCATTGATTCTTTCCGGAAATGTTTTTGAGTGCAGAATCAATGCACGAGTGTAGATTCGGTAAGAAAATCGCAACGACACCACAACAAAACTCTATATTGATTCAAATTTTATTTTGTGTTTTAAATTATCAAGTTGATGTTGGACAAAATCCATGGAAACCTGTGTATAAACAAAGTAGTTAAATCAGAAAAATTCAGAGATGTCACGTTTTGGTACTGAATCTTTTCAAAAGATAGACGAAGCAATAGACCATACCACTCCGGCCAATACGAAGCGGAATAAATGCTCGGTATGGAGCTAGTTTTCGAGCTTTTGCGAAGAAAAGTACAAGCTGGATGAGAAGGAGAAGGAGGAATTGGGTGAAATATTGAAAGATTGGGACTTCAACATGAGCAAGAAGAATGGTGAATCTTATAAGGAAGGCGTGGTGAAAGTTGTGTGGAATTCATCAGCTAAACAATTGCAAGAAAAGTATTACAAAGACTTCAACATCAAATTTGACCCCTTTACTGATTTGGAGTCCAGTGGAGCTAGTTTCGCGCGAGACGCATGCCACCGGAAGTTACAAGCCGATCCTGCTAAAAGAAAAATGAGTTCAACAGCTCTTATTAAAGAAGAATTATCCAGAATGATGAGACATGGGACGAAAATACTCCTACCGGTTAATACTGATTCGTTTCGTTTCACAAAACGTATCTTGACATTTAATCCCTAAACGTCAAAAAATTTCCACTTATTAATTTTAGGTAGGTTTAGCAGCTAGAAAAAATTTCCGGGAAAATCTTTCCGTTGCCATGGTAATAATGCTCGAATAAAGTTTTTGATTGGTTGTTGGAGAGTGTCGTGCGATTTTCACTAGTAATATCACAAGTGCATTGATTCTTTCCGGAAATTTTTTTCAGTGCAGTCCAACAACGTATTAATCGCCCACGAAAACAATTGCTAACAGTGTCCCTACTTTTAAGTCATTGGAATACATTGATTTAAAATTTCGAAAATATCTCCTAAAACATTTATTTCTGCGATTCCTCCCGATAATTCAAAATACAATTACACCTCAAATTTGAAAGATTCACTTGACTTCAGATTTCATTCATACTACGGAACGTCCTCACGTCTTAAATGTGACGCGCGCAATTATTCGAAATACCTGCATCCTCGTTTTCAGCGAAAGAACACGTGCGTTTTAATTACTTTTTGCTTCTTATCGCAAACCACCAGATGTAACCTTACTTCTAGCACCTTATCTTTTGTCTTGTCTAAATGGAACACTTTACAATACTAATAAAATTAAAGTGAGAGATTACGCATCTAACAAATCTTTAAGAGAAAAAATAAACATTGAGATTCAAATTTAAGTAAAATAAACCAACTTTGTGTTTATTCGTAAATCCCCGGATAACACTTAATAATGTGGAATATTCTTACATACAGGATGTCCCGTCATTATTTTTGGTGTTTAAGCCGAAATAATGGCTATGTTTCGTTTTGCTTTATTTTTTTTTCCTCAGAAACAAAAGATTTACCTACATTTTTAAGGCTCTCAGGTTTTATTTTAACAAATGTCCAAAAACTACGATTTCGCCGAAATTTTACACTTTTCAAAATGATAGTAAGAAGTCTTGCCGTGCCACAAAAATGGTTTGAATTTGGTAACATTTGCTGTTTTTACACGCGAATTTTTAGAAATCGCCTACGAAAGAGTGGGCTGAAGTTTTGAATCTGCAGAATTTTTACACCGCACTTGTGTGTAGGGAGGGTGAGCTTAAAAGAGGATCTTTGAAGACAATTTTCCAAATTTGGAATGAGCATACCGAAAACTTAGGTAAAACTCTTTGTCATTTTTTACGTGTGACGGCTACCGAAAAAGAGAAGAATGGTAATTGATTTTTGAGGACGTAGCTCCCAAGACACCCTTGATCCAAGGGCCGTCTCAACAAGGCACCGTGAGGTGGACAATTGAGTAGTATACAGTGTGTCCTATTTTGACTCAGACTGCGGTATATTTCAGCTGTTTTTAAAGATGGAGAGCTGCGGTTTTCGCGACCTTGCGCCACTTTTAATACCACAAACAGAATCAATCTAGCTACGTTTGTTTCTGAGATGCAGAGTGAAAACCAAAAGCTTGACTTTTGGGATGTTATCATACGCATGTAACATACAAAAAAAGGTAAAAACTGCCTATTTTAGTTATTTTTACGTAGATACCAGGACGTAGTAAGAAACAATTTGGACCATGACAGTTTGAGCTACCTTGTATATCTTAACGTCAATTGTTTTTTATTCTTTTTCCTGACAACATTAATGTACCTATCACAACCTTTATTTTTTTTACTAATATTAAATAGTAGGCCATGGACATTTTGTTTTTTTTATTGTATCCATGGTAATTAAAGCAGCTGATACCAATCAATAAAAATGGCTGACGGTAGAAACATGTAATTTGCCTATCATGGGGATCTCCGAAACCATGGTAAAATAGCGAAAAGTTGCGCAATTAAACAGTTATTATTATGCTTTAAAGAAAACCAGAAAATTCAGATTACTTCCGAGGATATGCCAGCAAAACCGAAATGTGCCGATTTGGTTTTTATTTTTTCCCACCTCCCACACTTTCTTATTGCCTTTCTGAGCTGTAAGACACAGTACAATAGAACGTTTCGTTTCGAAGAAATCAACAACTTTATTTTTTATATCATCCCTAACGTTTGAATAAATATAAAATAAATATGTACATAGCCATATTGCTACGACTTAGGTTATATATACAGTGTGTCCAAGATAAGAAAGAGCAGCATGGGGAAATTGCAAACCATAAGAGATACACGGTCGGTTAAATTAGAAAAAAGTTGCGTATTTTCGGGTTTAGTAACATTTTACTAACTGTTTTAGAAATTCGTAAATTCCGACCAGTTCCGAATTAATTACTCATTTGGTTTCTTCTAGGGGGCGGATTCTTAGGTAAATAAATATTTTTTTTGCGTATCAATAGAAGGCCCAAACTGTGTTAAAAGTCCCGGATGAGCCAAAAGTAACTCAAAAACGAAGTTTTATTTCACATAAAAACAAATATTTTTGGTTTATTTTTATGTGAATACATATTTCAAAGATATTCATAAAAAACACATAAATACAACGTTTTTAATTTATTTTACCCCTTTTTTCACTCTTCCGCGTGCATCATATTCCACATTTTTGTCCCCATATTTATTTGTACGTGATTTCTGTGTGCAGTGAGTACTATGGTATCTTGTTTCTGCATTCGTCACTTCCGCAAATTCTAGACCTGCTGACAAGTTCTGTTTTTTGCATGCGGCTACCCGTAATTTTTTTACTGGCTGCTTTCTTATCTATCTGACTCGGTAGGTACTGTTTCAATTCAACACTGCAGATTTGTTCGGTTGTTAAAGTAGACAGTTTACAGTTGGACCATACCGTGCGTAAAATAGCACTAATTCGCGTCTTCGCTCTTAAACAGTATACAATATACAATTGAATATAAAAACACGTAAATTTTAACGACATCCCATGAACCCTCGACTCTTAAAATACGCAAGACATACTTCCTGTGACGTGAAACGGTGTTTCTCGCAGTACAGGGACAATCGATAATCACTTGCGATCGATAATTTGGAGATGCCTTTTGTTGTTGTACATTGCAATGCTATGCTAAAGAAACTCCTGGTAAGTAATGTTCAGCTACTATTGGTGGATAAAAGACTTGTCTTCTTTCCGTTTTTTTCGCGAAAATTGGCAAAATAATTTTAAGTTTTTAGTAAATATTTTAATGTTTTTAAGCACATCAAAAATAAATATTTTGGAAGTTTTTAGCACCTAAAAATCCGCGCCCTAAAAGTAGCTTATTAATGAAGCACCGCAGGTAACAAACTAAAGCGTAGACAAAGTGTCTTAGATTCAAATAGTACAGTGCAATCTTGATAATACGGCACGTTCGGTAATCCGGCGTCTCTGGGACGACTACAAGATGTCATTTTTGATAAAATGCATCTAGCCAAGAAACAAAAAAAAATTAATGATTAATTTTCCTAGTGTGTAAAATTACGTATTTGTGTATATTTTGTATTTCTTTGTATAATTTGTAAGCATTTTCATTGTATGCACACATATTCATAGTAAAATTGGCGTTTTTTCTCTATTACTTTCGATAATTCGGATTATTTGATAATCCGGCGGTTGCGTGGGTCCATATGTGTCGGATTATCAAGATTCTACTGTAAGTATATATAAAGTCATTTAAAGGAACTATTAATGAATTATTTTGACATTTTGTCAACGCCTACTACATAAAAATGTTAAAAATTGTTTATTATGTAAGCAGAAAAAATGCTTGTTATTAAATGTTTAACATTTTGGTGTAGTAGGCGTTGATAAAATGTCAAAATAATTCATTGATGGTTCCTGAAAACGACATACCTAATAAAGAATCACATTGTACCATACATCGTTGCATTCGTATTTCGCATTAAAAAAAGCTACTCAATATCGTATGTACCTACTTTTTTCCGGTCCATATAAAAATTTGAAGTTGATGATGGGTTCTCCAAGACGAAACGTTGCAGTGAAAATCTGTGCGGACCATTTTATAGAGCTTAAACAGTTCCTATGAGGAAGTGTTATTTGTTTTTTTGATATCCTTTCAAACAGGTTCAGAAAAAAATTAAAACGAATATGGTTTGTTTCGTTTTTTTTCCAATATCTTAGGAACTGATTGGAATTACCGAATTTTTAAAAAAAATTTTTCTAATTCAACTGTTTGTGTATCTCTTATATGGTTTCCGATTTTCCCATGTTGTTCATTCTTATCTTGGACACGCTGTATTTATGGTGTAACTTAGCATTATTATTTTACATATTCAACTAACTACAGAAAATAAACGCGGAGTAGTTGCAGTCTCCAACAAACTCGTACAACCATATTATTTATTATTTTTAATTAATAGTACCTGTGTAAGCCACTCAAAAAAAGTAGTTACACCCCTAATTGTACTTAGAAATATTCCAACTTCTGGAGTGGGGCTTAATTCACATTTCATACTTTCTCTTATTACGGTAAAAACACGTCTTTATTCATTAAGTTAGTCGCAGGCGTATTATGAAAAAGATAAGATCGAGTTGTTCGCTGATGAAGACTACTTTGCTTTTAAAACCCGTTCGATTTTGTGGTTTATTGCTTTTTTTTCAATTAATCGATTTTATTGTTTAAGTTACTAAATATCTTCTCCTTTAATTTTAAGTAAAAATATTACTCTGTAGCACTTTGGGCGTATCATCTCCACCCTGTGGTCAATAAAAGGCTCTTTCACTGTTGCACGACCCAATTTGAGTTAGAATAGAAAAAGAACAAATTCCGTAAAGTTTTTGGGGACAAAGTTCTTTCGTCACCAATTCCCCCTAATTTTAATTATAAACAAATCCCGTTTTAATAAAAAAAAAACTCCTTTGTGTATTTCTCTGTTGCAATTTATTTTCGCGAAGCCTTCGCATTTAGTTTTTGTGTTCGTACGCAAATTTAGGATGTAGTATTTTTGGTAGAAGGAGCAGTCAAAATAGAATGGCTTGGCTGTAGTGTGTGGCGTATCGGCCGCATATTTGTGACGCTTAAATTCCGGATATTCCAAGCTATTTTAAGTTGATGTTATCGTGTTAGTTTGTGTTTGAAAGCGCTTTTTGTTAAAATTAACAAAAAAAAAGGGTCTCATAGGTATGTGGTTTATGTTTTTATGTACTAATTTAGGGGATTTGTAATTATACGAAGTACTTTCAGTTCCTTTTGTCGTGTAATTCGGAATCTCGACTCAATTTGAAAGTTCGCCGGGAGAACGGAACTGTTTTTAATTAAATTCTTTTAAGAAGAAGGATCTCGACGACCCTTCGCAATATGTTCTAACATTTCGCTTTTATTTTTTAGACGAACAACAGCATTTTTTCATTACCTAGTTAGCACAATATTGATAATCCATTTTTCGTGTCAGAAGTAGGCATAAGAGGTTTATTAAATAATAAACGAGCTTTTTATAGGTTACTCGGTTTATAGACCGGCAATCGAAATTGCCAGACCTAATTTTTATTGATATTGTATTTAGACAATATCGAGCGCGTTTCGAATATAGACACATAATTAGCGTTATTGCTTTCTGGACGTGACACCTTTTACAAATATTCCTTTTTGCGTTATCGAAATTGAATGAAAGCGGCAGCCGTTGATGTAGGGTGACAATAGAATTCTGGAGATTCGTTCATTGCAAAACTGATAAATTGGCATAATGTACTCCCCTCATCCTCTCATTACTGGTCGACGTTTTATATGGATCCCTTTAAGCAACTTTTAAAGAATAGGTAACATTTCATACGTATGTAGGTAATTTTCCGAGATAACGGCTCGGCGGATTTTATTAAAATTTTGGCTGTAATCTGTAGTGCTGTGTGAAATGGAAAACTGTCACTAAGCCACCCACAAAACACCTATCCTAACTTGATTATAAATTTCTCAAAACACGCCCAGGCTCCGCTACAGGAAAATAAAATCGCGATAATTTTATTAATTTAGGAATCTCAGCAGCCTTGATCACTTTCAACAATTCCGGGGAATTATTGAAACACATTTTGACTAACACTCTGGGCACAAATATCAAATTTCACATGAAAACTCTAATCTGGGTCGCACTTTGGATTTGATTAAACACAGCTACTTGACTGACAATGCCGCGTATTGGTACTACCCTGTGCAACCTTCAAAAATTATGCTAGGTTATAGCAAAAAACCTAGAAACAAAGTTAAAATATTCTTTTTTGGGCAAAACGGTTATTTTGATTTCGTTCAAATGTTTAGGTTGAAATGCAGCACGATTGGTTTCGAGCCAAAATAAAAGGGTCGAATCCTTTGGTCTCCCTGGTGTGCCCGCTACTCTGATGTAATTCAGAGAAACAGACAGGGTATGTGACTGAGAATCATTCCCCTTGAACTGTAGAAGCGACTTCTTGAATCGTTTTTCTCAGACCTGATCCGTCTGTTCGAAAATGTTGACAACTCGAAAGAAAGCCTCGCGAAGTGCTTCAAATGGTCTTGATTTGAGGTGCATAGAATTAACACTTACAGATTGGTTTGTTGTTATTTAGGTGAGAGAACAGGTTTATGATTCTATTTTAATTGTAAATAATTTGAACCTGGCTATGGAACTCGGTCCTCTAGAATTGCCTTCGCTTGGCCCCGAAGTCAAATAACGTTGAATGTTATATTTCCCCTCCTCTTCCCCTCTTATGCTCCAGTACAAATTATTCTAATATTTAATTATCATGTTACCTCTTTTGATGTTTTATTATTATTATTCTTTTGTTAATTACTTATGTCAAAGCAATTTATTGTATTAAAAATCATTAAAAATTTATAAATAAATGCATTAAAAATTAATAGTGGTCGTTAAAAAATGACCCCCCCCCCCCCCACCTCCCCTTGATTATGCAGAAGTACGCGACAGACCACGCATTTAAAGTACGTAGAGTGAAGGTTTTGTTTTATAATTTTAGATATCATAAAAAGTTTTCTTTAAAAACTTTTGTCTTGAAGATATATTCAGTGCTCCAGCCAAAATGGTCACCCTGTATAGTGTATATGCCTTACCTAATATATCATACCTGTTCAAAAATACATACAAGGTGCTCAGCTAAATATGTAAAAATTGTCAATTTTGAAAATTCGAAACGTAATTTTTTAAGTGAAAACCCACTCTTCTCAATTCATAATTTTACTCAAAAAAATAAATGCATTTGTATTTACATCCCTATATTTAATTCATAGCTAAAGCGAAAATGTGTGCAGCTACTGTATAACATTTTTAGCGCATTTTTTTAAGAATTAAAAAAACAAGTATAAATTGTGCCAAGTCTTGTGCAGATAAAGCGCATTTTTTTAAACCGAAATAGCTGAGTAAATGGTTGGGTTATAAGGGGAGGAGGCTCTTTACACAGAAACATTTAAAGACCGGCTGGCATACATTCAAAATCCCCCGACACTCCCTTCTGCAGAGTTTCCCTTTGAGAATACTTTTACAAACCGTTTTTGAGATATTCGCTCTTAAAGTTTTGACATCACCAATGGATATATTTCTTCCAGACATCTCAATCGCCCTTTGGGAGTACCCTCTGCCGACAATCCGTTCTGGAGACATAAGAGAATAAATCCGATCACGATAAGGAGTCGAGGAGGAGGACTATGGTTTTGGTAGAAATTAATTCCTTTCGTTGAGACCTTTAATTAGAGTACCATGAAGGATAAAACTAGTTCTACTCTCCCCCCCTCCAACCCCGTCTTTCGATAAGAGGACAGAAAGAACGTGTGCCCCCCCCCCTCCTCCATTTTCAAAAGTTACTTAGCACACCTTCAAGGTGTAGGCTTTCAGGCATTGTAATGAAACGTCTCATCGTACAAACTATAACTTTCCCGCGCGACTCTTTTTCGAGATCAGCGAGAGGCGGGGGGGGGGGGGGGGGGGAAATGATTGTATCTTTAATTGTAAGAAAACATCAAATTGATAACGTTGGAATTTTATTTGTGAAACATCCTGTACTATGTTTTGTAAAATCCCCTCGTTAGATGTCGCCTGTTGTCGTCCCCATCCTTTATTTGCAATCCCTTCTACATCTCCCACCTTGTTGTGTGTCCTATAAAAGGTGTTTGTAAAGTACCAGAGAGCACTTCCGATTAATTCCGTTCCATGTTAAAATCATTCCCCGAACCAGAACCAGACCCGATTCCTGCCCGTTTCGAAAACCTGAGATCCGTTTTAAGTTTATTTTATTTTCCGTTTTAATTCCACCAGAGCTTTTCGTTTTAGTTTCATTATTTTCCTAGACCTATTAATTTGATAATTACTTTTAGTTTTGCCGTTTTACTCACCTGTTCCCGGGAAGATAATCCTGGTAGGGTAAATCCCTGCGGGCTTATAAAACCGGACACAGAACTAGTTCTTTGTATTCTTGCCTTCGGTCGGTCGACCGGACTGGAATCCAAAGAGCTTCCCTTCCGTGGTTGCCGTCTGATTCCACCGACTTTGAGTAGAGGTTGTTGGAACCGGGTGGAAGTTCCTCTGTAAGGGCCGTCGCCAGGTAAATCCTTGCCGACCTTATTCGAGAGCTATTACTTCCTGTTCAAGTCAACTCAGGTCGGGTTATTTCTTTGCTGAAGAGCACCTGAAATATAACTGGTGGAGAAAGCTTCCTATACTTCCTTTACCTGATACCTCCTCGAGCCTTGATAAGCATCCGGGCTTATGGGGTAATAACTCTTTATCATTACAGCGAACTAGTAGCACTTGCCACATCCACCGCACGTTTCCAGTTGGGGAAAAGAAAACGCCGTACCAGACCCCAAGGTCAACCGGGGATTTGACAGACGGTGGAGGTGTCTCCGTACCCAACATCGGGATTTGAATATTTGAATTTTTTATTTATTTTATTTTATTAATTAAACAATTTCAATCAATACGAATTTCGATCTCTGGCCAGCCGGCTGGAGCTACCCGAAGGCAGAACCCCGTTCTGTTTACATAACGATATTCTAAGTAACTTTCTCAACAAAAGGAACCGTTTTCTATCAACCATCATTTTCTGATCCCTTATCAAAAGAGGGAGTTGGAGGGAGGGGGGAGTAAAACTGGTTTTATTCTTCATGGTACTCTAATGAAAGGTCTCAACGAAAGGAATTAAGTTCTACCAACCATAGTCCTCCTCCTCGACCATTTTTCGTGATCGGATATATTCCCTTATATCTCCAGAACGGATTGTCGGAGGAGGTGCTCAGAAAGAGCGATTTAGACGTCTGGAAGAATCCATTCGTGATCTCAAAATTTTAACAGCGAATATCTCGAAAACGGTTTGTCGAAGGAAATGTACTCGAAGGTAAAATAAATCGACTGGACGAGACGAGACGTTTAATACGACCATTCCTTCAAAAAAATGTGAAACTGTTTATTTAGAATTAGGTTTTGGGAATATTAACAAGAACGTTTTTTCATTGAAGCAATTAGGCAATGTCATTGGTACTTAGCTGGTGAGTTTCTAAAATTGTATTATTTGGTTAAACCTCGGGTTAAACAGTAAAGAACTACATCCACAGTTAATACCATCAAATTCACCAATTAATTAAGACCGTTATCCCTAATTTTATCACGTACCGCCAGTCGATTTTAAACTCTCAAACGCTTTTGTGTTCTCTGTTTTTCATATTTACGTGAGCGTATTTGTAAATTAGAGATTTCTAGATTCCATCATCCACAGCGCTATTTATAAAGAAGCGAATTTGGCTACAGTACTCAGTCTCGATTACGACCCAAATACAATGTAAATCTGATTTACAAAGTCTGTTGGCCTAATTTTTCATTTCACGTGCGTGGCTCCTAATGTTCAAGTAAATATTAATAAGACACGCTCCTCTTCGGCGTTTTAATTTATCTGAATAGGAAATTTATTTGTGCTCAACGATTTGTTATCAAAAAAAACCGCGCGCACCTTTCAAACGCGACTAAAACCGTCAACTTGTTTACATTAAAACAACCATTAATCCTAGGTCCACGGAAATTTATTGATTTTTTCAAAATTAACTTTATTGGGTTATTTAAATAGAAAAATGTTTCTTTTTCCGCGAGAGCTCTGTCGTCCGGTAATTTATATCGTTCGTTAGAAGTGCCTTTTGAGATTAGATACAATAATTTAATTATCGGACTAACAAATTGTGTCAAGATCGCTAGATAGCAAGTTGATGTTTTGCATTACCTACTATTGAAACTAACTTGTTTGTGGATCGCATTTGCACGCATTTTTAGAATAAATTTATAAATAACGTGGTGCTTTTACTACGGCCGCGACTATAAACAGTTCCATTCATATTTTCCTAAACGTATTGATGTAACTATTGTACATTCACAGGTTTTTAGGATTTTTGGTTAAGTGAAACAATCAACTAAAACCTAAATTATCAATAAATTCTGTAATTGTTTGTTTTTAAGTCAAGTCATACCCATTATAGGTAAATGCTTGCAAAAGATCTTGCTTTTTTAATAACGCCGGAATTGATTGTTTTTCATTTAAATTTCATTCTAACATAGTAAGTTTCCTAACACCTGTGAAACAATAATCCATTGTCTACTATGGTATACACGTTTCCGCATACATGGCCATTAATAATTAATTTTCATCCGATCGCTTTAGCGTGCCGTGCCTACTTGAATTGCCATATAAAAACTGAAAAGGAGTTTAATTGCAATTGTAATGACCCTTCGTGTCAAACCATCCATAATCCCTCACTTTGTGTGCAATTGTGCAATCGATTATAAAGAAATAAAGATAGGAAAAGTTACACGAATATCATTAATCGTTGCAATTTGATATTTGCGTGCCAAACAGTCTGCTTGACTCAGTTTTTGGTCCTTATTTCATCGTCCTATTCAAAAATTAATTGTTCCATTTGTCTTATCCATTCCTACTTAAATGGGCCTGAAGCACACGTTGCGATTTTGTACTCTCGATAGATACGCTAGGGTTTCTGGACAAATATCACCACCTTGCTGATCTTTTGTCCCTGAATATATTCGTATTCATTGTTTCCTCCATCGGCCCTTTGAACCACGCTATATGGCGTTCGATTTCAAGGAATTCTCTTTATTGCCGAAAAGCTTCCAATATGTTCCCAGTTTCATGCATTGCTCTAAATTTCCTTAATTATTTTTTACAAAAATTTACTCATACCTTCATAATTTATTTTCTCTTTTCTTGTCTGTTTGTTTGTTTGTGTGTTCCAAGTCACGTTCGCAAAGTTTAAGGATAAATTCTTACCATCATCTTCGAAGAAACGAAACTTTTCTCTTTTGAACACTCAGGCGTTTTGAGTGAATAAACATTAAACAGTTGTGTAAAGTGACTGTACAGAGTGTTCCAGGTGGAACGGATAACATTTTGAGAAATTAAAGTAGACGTGAACACATCGCCACGGTACGATTCAAGTGACCTGGCGCATGTATTTATTACGGAACGCGAAATAGCAGAGTGCGACATCAACGAAAAATTAAAAAAATCCTATAATCCGATCGGATCTAATTCTGAATCTAAACCATCCGAGGATACGCAGGAGACATGTAACTAAAATTTCATGAAAATTCGTCCAGCCGTTTAGGAAGAGTTCAGTCACAAAACACGTATAGAATATTTTTTATATAAAGATTTATATTATTTATATGACAGTTAACTTGTACAATGACGCACTGTTTATTTATACTCACTTGTTATCCCAAGCTGACTATAGTTGGCTAGAGACAATTGAATTGTAGCCGCCCTATTGAAACTTTGTTGGCGAATGAGAATAAAAATACAGCGTTTTTGTTTTCAAATAATCTCTACTTTAATTCAAAAAAATATATTTTTCCTGACACCCTGTATAATGGACACTAAAGAAGGACTCCAACGAGTCCTTATCCGGAAACATTTCCATGCCGTTTCCATTTTTGATGCGATTATAAGAGATCCGACGGCCAAGAAATTTATCTGCATTCCAGCCGATACCTAGTAATTCAAGGAGTAATTTTAAGCTGTACAAATAAGTTTGTCGAAAATATTTTTCTAAACTTAGAATTTTATAATCTCTCCTCGTACACATCCGCCATCTGCTATAAGAAAAATTCCCATATTGATTTGAAAGAGTAGTGTCGATCAACTTTAGAAAATTACACAACTTTAGATTAACACCTAAAATAAATCTTTGACACAAATTGAAAAGAAACTCTAATCTGGGTCGCACTTTGGATTCGAATAAACACAATTAATTGATTGACAATGACAAATATGTATTCCAACACAATGCAACAAAATTAAATCAAAATCTCTGAAGGAAAGAGAAGCTTACAAAACTTGTTTGGACAATTTCCCCGCACGTAGCCGGCGACAATTAAAATAAAAAATCTTAAACTTACTTACAGTTTTTTTCTTAATAATCCAAATAATCTGATCGTACAAGAAAAGGCGCATTTAGCTGAAATTCGCTTTGCTTTATAATTATATATAATTAGATGACAAACAAAATTGGGTTAATGAATAAGATGAACAAATTTTTGGTGGCTGTTCGGACGGTCGAAACCTAAAACTTTTAATAAGAAGAAAGCAAAAGGCCTCGTTGTACAACACTGTTTCTTTTTTCAACTCGGCAAAACTTTTTCCGTAATCGGACAACATTCGCTAAACTTCACACACTTTGATGAACTTGCTTCGGCATTGATTTATTACAAAAAATGTATTATACTATGCTTGAACTTCCAAAGGCGACTCGACAGCAACTCATTTTTAACAAAACAGATCGTGCTAACTGCCCGTAATTTAGTGTAAACAGATGTACATGCTTTTCAACCGTCGCAAAACGAAACCTAGCAGCAGTCTTGTTTACTCGTTGTCTTCAGTATTTAAGGAAGCACAACTTCCACCATCAAATAAACGCCTTTAAACATTTTTTAATAACTCGCAAATCAACAACGGAACGCGCTAAACTTTCAGTATTGTCCAATATGAAACACTTGCCTCTTCTTTATCCCGTCAGTGATAAAACTCCTTATCGCAACGACCAGATGTGTCTATCTTACCTAAATCGAATCAATTACAAAAGCAATCAAAAATTACGCATTTACAAAATTTCTAAAAGAAAAAACAAAACTGACATACAAATTCAAATGAAACGAACCAAATCTATGATTATTTCGTAAATAATTCCCTAGTTTTACTTGATAAATTGAAATATTCGCATATTCAGGATATGCTGTCAAAGGTAAAGAAAAATTAAAAGTTCTACCGAAATTCTATAAACAACGATTTTAACATCTGATGGGAAAAAATGCGTACAATGTGACATTTTTTTTATCGCGATTCAGAAGATTTTTTCTTGATTCCGATACGAATTCGAGTGCAAAAAGCGCCGAATAAACCTTGGATCGAGGAGGTTACGACACGGATCAACAGAGGGAGTGATTGCAATAGGGCAAACTAAAAATGTGTGATTTGGAATTTCAAAATCTAGAAAACATGTCCTTGATAGCATTAAAAGTCTTTAAGGGTATAGCCCAACTCTTTTCAAGAGCCTTCAACAAAGGGGTTCAAGAGCCTTGATGAGACTTTAGAGTCTTCAAGAACTGTTATGAGGCTTTATTAATCTTTACTATTTAAGAGCCTTCATGAGCCACCATAGTTTTCTCTCCGAGCGTTTTTAAGTGTCGCAACAGCGCTTTAATGACCTTTATTGCAGCTGCACTTTTGAGACCCTAAGAGTCTTTAAAGCTTTTAATAATCTTAGAGATTATTTATTATCCGAATCTTGAAGAGCCTTTAATGTACGAGTTGTAAAATTTAACGGTCTTTAAAAGCCTTTCGGCGTTAGTTACTAAGAACTTCTGAAAGTCTTCATGAGATTCCAAATGTGTTCAAATTACTATCGCAGATCCACTGCATTACACAAAGTGTAGATTGCAACTTCGGTGTAGTTCATTTGGATCACGATGTTCGAATAATTTGTG